TAAGCAGTAAATCATTAGGCTTCTTGTTTTGGTGTGTATTGTGTGTGGTAGAGTGTAAAGTTCTGTTTAGTGTAGATCCACATGTGTGCTTATAGTCATTGACTTATGAAACAATTTGTCCATCTTTTTTTTTCTGAATTTGTCCATTTTCTGCCTGGATTATTACAGTGTTGTAAATCTAGATAGATAGAATATGACTAGTTGAGCCCATCATGGTAGCCTAGTGGCTAAATTCCTCACCTTGTACATGCTGGGATCTCGTGTGGTTGTGAGTTCTAATCCAGGCAGCCCTGCTTCCCATCAGCTCCCTGCCTATGGCCTGGAAAAGCAGTCGAGGACGACCCAATGCCTTGGGACCCTGCATCCTTGTGGGAGACCCGGAACAGCTCCTGTTCCTGGCTTTGATTTGGCATAGCTCCGGCCATTTTGAACACTTGAGGAGTGAATCGATGGAAGAGATTTCTCTGTTCCTCTCTGTATATCTGACTTTACAGGAAAAAAAAAAAAGATAGTTAAAAACATTGAATAATTTATTTGAGGAACAGATTGAGACTGGGGTCCCAACTTTTGTGTTAACTGGTGGGCCAAACACCTGCCCAGCAATATTTATTACTAAAATCTTATGTTATTTTGGTTTCTAAACCAAGCAGGTTAGCTGAATTGCTTTCTTGCTCCTTGCTCCTCCTCTACATTGCATAAGACTTTATCCAAAGATCTGGTAGTACTCAGTGTTGTCCATCTCAGTGGATTTTACTATACTTGGATCTGTGGGAGTCTGATGAAGACCAACTGGTTTGTTCTCTAGAAAAAAAAAGTTCTATGTGCAGATTTTAGGTGAGAAGTGTGAATAAACTCTTTTTGCCCTCTGTGTATCTGTTGACTCCAGTGAAGGCTTCCTGTTTTGCATTCAGGATCCAGCTTAAGCTGGACTTCCAGTTTCTATCTGTACTGCTTTTCCTTTTTTCCTACTCTATGAACTACTTTTTTCCCCACAAAGTGTTTCCTTTGGGAACTTTTGCCGCTGGGTGTTAAGTAAAGCCTCCAACTATGGTGCCAGTATCCCATACAGGAACTCGTCCAAGTCCCATTTGCTTCACTGGGATCCCATATGGGCACTGGTTCTAATACTGCTGGCCCCACTTCCCATCCAGCTCCCTGCTTGTGGCCTGGGAAAGCAGTCAAGGATGGCCCAAAGTCTTTGGATCCTGCACCCACAGGGGAGACCGGGAAGGAGGCTCCGGGCTCCTGGCTTTGGATTGGCTCCCTGTACTCATGTGGAAGAGCTCAGATAAACTGGCTTGTGGTTTCCTTTTGGCGTAGCCTGGCTACTAGGGCCATTTGAGGCAGATGGAAGACCTTCCTGTCCTCACCTCTCTGTCTCAACTCTGCTTTTCAAATAAATAAAATAAAAATCTTCAAGAAAACAGAGAAAAATATATTATCTTGGGTTGAATGTCAGTTTGGAAGTATTTGTATCACATGTGACATGTGTGGCTTTTTTTCAGTTGAAAGAGCTTCCAACTAAAACTGTATTTTTGGTTGAAAGCTTAATCCAGTATAGAATTAACAACTGAATTTATATTCCTGTCTGTTACGAATTTATGTAGTCACGAGAGCTATTGGAATCCCTGCTGCTTAGAAATGCAATACTGTATCCAGAAATGGAAAAACTTATTTCTAAAATCTCTGTATTCTAGTTTCTAAATAAATTGAATTAAAGGTAAAATGTCTTTTTAGAAATTTTTTAAAGCTTTTTAAGATTTTATTTTTACTGGAGAGGCAGATACAGAGAGAGAGATACAGGAGGGGAACGAGTGAGTGAGCTCCCGCATGTGTTGGGTCCACTCTACAGATGCCCACAGTAGCCTGGGCTGGGCAGAAGCTGGGAGCCCGGAAGTCAGTCCAGGTTTGCAGGATGAGTACAAGGGATGCAAATACATAAGATATGTTTTGCTGCCTCACAGGATGTGCATTAGCTAGTGTGTAGAATTGAGGAACAGAACCACAACTCCAGCCTAGTCACTCTATGATAAGATGCAGGCATCCCAGTCTGCTATGCACTGAATTGTGTCTTTCAAAATTCATGTGATGAAGTCCTGATGTCTCGAGTGATGATATTTGGAGATGGAGCGTCTGGGGAAATAATTTGGGTTAGAGGAGGTGTGAAGGGGGAGCACTCGTCAGAGAACACCAAGCATCCGTTCAGGAGGAGAACCCTCATTGCAGCTGTGCTCCCTTGGCACCCTGATGTTACGGCTTGCCCGCCAGTACTGTGAGGAAAGTTTTCTGTTTTTTGAACCACCCAGAGTTTGATAGTCTGTGATAGAAGCCTGAGGATCAGCTATGACGAAGTACAGAGTATAAATGGAGTACTTGCAGTAGTAGGGCTGTTCTCATGAGGGGGAAAGCACTGTGTAATTGTACTATCCGCCTTTTCTAGGGGATCCAGTTTTGACTTAAAAGATTTTAAAGAGAGGGATAGAAGGAAAAGGAGTAAGGTTGCCCGAGTTAATGATAGCAGGAACAATAGAGAGATGTCATCATATCAGCATGAATAGTTCTGTGCCTCCAAATTTGGTGATGTGGGGAGAAATTAAACACATTTTTTCAAAGACAGAAACTTACAGAATTAATTCAAAAGGCTGATGGCATTGCTCTACAGGCTAATCCTTCACCTTCAAGTGCCAGCATCCCATATAAGCGCTGGTTTGTGTCCTGGCTGCTCCACTTCCCATGCAGCTTCCTGATATATCCTGGAAAGATTGTGGAGGATGGGCCAAATACTTGGGCCCCTGTTCCTGTGTGGAAGACCCATAGGAGACTTATGGCTTTGGGTCAGCTTGGTTCTGGTGGGTTGCAGCCGAGTGGGGAGTGGCCTAATGGAATGAAGATTTTCCCTCTGTCTCCTTCCTATAAATTTTTCGGATAAAAATGAATGAATATTTTTTATTATTTTTTTTATTTTTGACAATCTTTACATAGCTAATTAGGGCACAAAGGTTCAAGGGCTACAGGAAAGTAGGTAGATATTTCCATAGTTTTTCTCCCTATATCTGGGGTTAAGGGAGAGGTAAAGGAGGAAACCCCACCCAGTGTCCCACCCATCCCAGGTCCCTGATGTGGGGCATGCTCTGAGGGTCTTGCTCAAGTGGTTTTGATAGTTCAGCGGTTCTGAATTGCTGCCAGTCTCGCCGTTCCAAGCACTATGAGGTCGTTGAAGAATCCAGTGGTTCACATAGTCTACCTTAGAGTCTCCGTTGTTCAGTTTTTCACTGCCAGCATATGACTGGGGTACTTGATTGATTTGTTCTTCCTGTGTCTTTTCATGGTTAGGGTTCTGAGTCTGGCAGTTCGATTGGGGGGATCCCTAAAGAAACTTTGTCTGAGGTGATCCCAGACCCAGTTCTTGCATGTACTTGCAAGTATAGGGTCAGGTACAGTCCATTGCCCCAATCAGCTGGTTGTTGCAATTGCTGGGTCAGTTCTGTTTCCAGCCTGGTTCTGCCCAGCACACACTCGACCTTCACATAAACCAGTGGGCGCTGCAGCCTAGTTGGAGCGACCCACAATAACCCCCACCAGGCCCACCTCCCACCCTGGTTTCCATGCTTGCCAGTATGTGCAGCAGACTAGTTCAGTCTGTTCCACATCCCATTTGGCTCTCATACATGTCAGTGGGCATTGAAGCCTAGTTCAACCCAACCAGCTGTACTATCCAGCCCAAACACATGCTGTTGGTTGCCTTTCTGTCTAGCCACCCCTGCCCAGTCCTGGTTTTCCTGCTCTCCAGTGGGAGTGGTAACCCAAAGGGAGGCTCCTGGATTATGCACTCTCCAGGTGGTTCTGCACTTTAACTTGACAGAATTAGTCCCCAGTGCCAGCTTCTGCCAGCTGATACTGTGGCTAAGCCCAACTAACACACACCCGCTCTAATTTATGCTTGCACCAGTAGGAATAATCAGCCCAGCCTGGCTTTTCCCTGATCTAGTGCACATGAGGCGCATAGATGTGGTAACCCTGCCTGGCCTGGTCTGCCCCCATCCCAGCTCATTCTCTTCAGTGGGAGTAGCTGTCCAGCAAGGGAGCCCCCACCCCCACATTCCCCCTGCTGGCTCCGCCCCTTCCCTCCCCGGTTCTCATGTGTGCTGCTTGGGTGCTGCGGCCACATCTGGTATAGGTCATCTCACCTTGGCATTCCATAATGTGCACTGGTTTTTGTCATGACCGAACCTGGCTCGACCCACACTTTGTTCTGGTGCTTGGATTCGAAAAATGAATTAATTTTAAAAAGTCACTCAAGAATTAGATAACCTGAATAGTCAACTGTTACCTATCACAGAAATGGAATTTGTTATTTAAAACCCTCCATAGAAAATTTGAACTTTGCCTGGTTTTGCTTGTGAATTAATTCTACCCTATGTTTTTTGTGGATAATGATACCAACTCTGCATAGTCGAGAAATATTGAAGGAGCAAACACTTCCCAGTTCATTTTATGACGTTTGATAAAAACAAGATATAATGAGAAAGGACACCACATCAGTTTCTCTTATAAACAGTCACAACAAAATTTTTATTCTTGTTCCTACACTATAACCACAGAATTTAAGATCAAAGCCAGATTTTAAGAATTTTTAGTGACTCCTTTAAAGTCTTTTGAAGAGAAAAATAATTAGTTTGTTATCAGACATCTAAATAAAGATTCTTTTTGGAAAATGTGAAGTTACCAGGAAGTTTACCTTCCTTTTCTTCTGTAGACACACCAATTCTTAGATTGGGCTGAAGTTGAAACCAGATAGGCCTGTTGACAGTTCTGCAATCTAGCTTTGTTCAGCTTTGTGACTGGTTTTTGCTGTTATTCCAGTTCATTTTACCAGATTCATAGAAATGAGACATGTCAGAAATGGGAAGAGAAATATAAAATTGAGAGTTCATTTGAAAGTGTTTACAAGTAGTGTTGCAGTGCTAGCATTTGTGGTGAGAATATTTTTCTCATTCCAGTTTCTTAGAAGGAAAACATCACCATGGCTACAGAAATTGGTTCTCCTCCTCGTTTTTTCCACATGCCAAGGTTCCAACACCAAGCACCACGACAGCTGTTCTATAAGCGACCTGATTTTGCACAGCAGCAAGCAATGCAGCAGCTTACCTTTGATGGAAAACGAATGAGAAAAGCTGTAAACCGAAAGACCATAGATTACAACCCTTCTGTCATTAAGTATTTGGAGGTAAGTCCAGTTAATATACTTCAGGTAGTCAATTTTTTGTAGAAGACACTTTCTAAATGTTTACTTGTAGATACAGCTGTGTTTCTTGGGTTAGTGTGGTGCATGGAATTTCATGAGGCTATTTCAGTTAACCAGAATTTCATTTGTTGTCATTATTAGGGTCTAGTTGAGAAATAGGCTTTGTTTTAAAAGTTTACAACAGATCACAAGAGTGACCTTTTTTCCAGAAGCACTTGGGAAACACTGGGAATGAAGAAAGCTGAGAGTGAAGAATTGCTTTGTGCTGGGTGATTCTGAGGCATTGGTGAAGTCTGTGTATCTTATTAAGAGCTGGTCAGTGTGAGTGTGTGGGGCTGACAGCCGTTGCCGAGTGTGTGGGGCTGACAGCCGTCGCCGAGTGAGTGGTCAGTGTGAGTGTGTGGGGCTGACAGCCGTCGCCGAGTGAGTGGTCAGTGTGAGTGTGTGGGGCTGACAGCCGTCGGCGGGTGAGTGGTCAGTGTGAGTGTGTGGGGCTGACAGCCGTCGGTGGGTGAGTGGTCAGTGTGAGTGTGTGGGGCTGACAGCTGTTGGCGGGTGAGTGGTCAGTGTGAGTGTGTGGGGCTGACAGCCGTCGGTGGGTGAGTGGTCAGTGTGAGTGTGTGGGGCTGACAGCTGTCGGTGGGTGAGTGGTCAGTGTGAGTGTGTGGGGCTGACAGCCGTCGGTGGGTGAGTGGTGGTTAATGTGAGTAGGCAGGAGGGAAGTCCTAGCAGTATCAGTAGGATGTGGGGAAATCCCACCTAAGATCTCTGCTGTTATCCATGTTTTATAATCCCCATTCCATTAAAACAGCTTACAGTGATTAAGTTTAACATCACATATAGTTAGATCGTGTATTCATTAACTGATTTTTTTTTTAACAGAATAGAATATGGCAAAGAGACCAGAGAGATATGCGAGCGATTCAGCCTGATGCAGGTTACTATAATGATGTAAGTGTGTCTGTCACGCCAGCTTAATAAAAACCTCTCTATATAATTTAAATCTAAAAACGTGGTGACTCAAGTTTAATTCTTTTGCATAAAAAAATTTTTTATTGATGTGCTTGAAAATCAGAATTCCCATTTACTGTCTCAGCCCCAAGTTCCCGTGGTGGCTAAAGCTAGGAGCTGGACACTCAGTCAGGTCTCCTGTGTGAGCAGCAGGGCCCCGACTCTGACTTTCACGCTCTGCACTGGCAGAAATCTTGGGTCGGGAGCTGGAACCAGTTACTGGACTCTGGTACTCCTGTGTAAGAAACATTATTTTAAAATTTTTTTGATATTTATTTTATTTTTATTGGAAAGTCAGCTTTACAGAGTGAAAGAGAGAGAAAGATCTCCCATCTGCTGGTTTACTTCCTAAGTGGCCACAGTGGTCAGTGCTGAGCCATTCCGAAGCCTGGAGCCAGCAGCCAGCAGCCTCCTCTGGGTTTCCCAAGAGAGTGCAGGCAAGGTTTGGGCCGTCCTCAACTGCTTTCCCCGGCTACAAGCAGGGAGCTGGATGGGAAGTGGAGCAGCCAGGTTACTAACTGGCGCCCATATGGGTTCTCAGGTGTGCAAGGTGAGGACTTTGTTTAGCCACTAGGCTACTGTGCTGGACTCCAGATGCATGTGTCTTAACTGCTAGGCCAAATGTCCATTTGTTTTTAGATTTTTTTTCCCCAAGATGTATTTATTTTCTTGGAAAGGCAGACATACAGAGAGGAGGAGAGAGGAAGATCTTCCGCCGATGGCTTACTCCCCAAGTGACCTCAAGGCCAGAGTTGCGCCAATCTGAAGCCAGGAGCCTGGGGCTTCTTCCAGGTTTCCTATGTAGGTGCAGGATCCCAAGGCTTTGGGCCGTCCTCAACTGATTTCCCAGGCCACAAGCAGGGAGCTGGATGGGAAACAGGATCGCTGGAGTAAGAACCGGTGCCCACATGGGATCCCAGCGCTTTCAAGGCTAGGACTTTAGCCGCTAGACCACTGTGCCAGTCCTTGTTTTTAATATTTTAAAAATGAAATCTTATTTATTGGAGAGGCAGAGAGAAAGATCACATCCAGACTTTCCTAATGCCCACAAAGATAGGGGCTGGAATTTGACCCATGGTTCCCGTGTGGATGGCAGAAACCTTTACTGCAGCCTGCCCGGGTTTTGCATTAGTGAGAAGCTATCTGGAACAAGAGTCAAGAATCAGACCCAGTTACTCAAGTGTGGGAGCATAGGTATGTTAATTAACATCTTGATCATGACAAAATGCCTGCTCTTATTTGCACATCTTTGTAGTTAAAAGTAATAGGTTTCTAAAGGAGTAGTACACCACGTTTATTTAGACCATGGTTTGTGTATTTTTAAGATTTATTTTGTTCTTATTGCAAAGTCAAATATGCAGAAAGAAAGAGAGGGGAAGAACCTCTGTCCGCTGATTCACTCGAGAAGTGACCACAATGGCTGGAGTTGAGCTGATCCGAAGCCAGAAGCTTCTTCCGAGTCTCCCACGTGGGTGCAGGGTCCTTGACTGCTTTGCCAGGCCACAGGCAGGGAACTGAATGGGAAGCAGGATCGCCGGGATTACAACCGGCACCCATATGGGATCCTAGTGCTTCAAATCAAGGACTTTAGCTGCTATGCCACCACGTGGGGCCCTATGGATTGTATTTTTTACCCATTAAAATTTTAAAAAGAAAGGTTTGGATTTTAAATCCAGAAACATTGATTTCGGGCTTCGAATAATATCTGACAAAATTGAATAGCCTTGAAATCTTGTAAAAAGGAAGTCATCTAAATTTGGTTTATGGGGTATGCTTCTTGGCACGGTGAGTTAAGCTCTTGCCTGTGACGGCAGCAGCCCGTATGGAATCTGGTTAATGTCCCAGCTTCTCTGCTTCTGAGGCCTCTCCCAGCCTAGGAACTATGACCCAAGCGCTTAGACTCCTGGTAGCCATGTGGGAGCCCTCGATGGAATTCTCAGTTTTTGGTTTCAGTCTAAGTCAGTCTTGGCCTTTGTGCTGTGGGAGGGAGCCCCTAGATGGAAGATCTTTTTCTCTCTGTGTCTCTCCCTTTCTCTCTCTAATTTGCCTAGGAAACAAATGAATAAATCTACATTTTGCTTATGTACACGTCGTTGTATTGACCTAAAGGAGAAATTTGGGACATGTACTTAATCTGATACTTGTTTATGTTGTTTGTTTGCTAATAATGTATGTTTAACTTTCCTATATCTTTGTTTTCTTATTTTGGTTAATATATGCTAATTATAATTATTATATTTATTATTTAAAAAAATCTTAATAGTTTCCAGTTGTCTTTATTGTTGAAGTTATTTCCTTGACTTCATTTGTTTCTGCCCTGCTTGTAATCAGGAGCTCTAAAAACTCATTTTTTTGTGTGTGCAGCTAGTTCCACCTATAGGAATGTTGAATAATCCTATGAATGCTGTAACAACAAAATTTGTTCGGACATCAACAAATAAAGTGAAATGTCCAGTATTTGTTGTGAGGGTGAGTAGTCTGTTGAATACTTTGTGGGAAAATTCCTCCGGAATTAGTCTGCCAGTCTGACGGAACAGAGTGACGTTGTAAACGCTGTTGTCAATCCCATCTCTGTCTCCCAGCGTTGTTACTATTCTCATAGATTATGGTGAAGCCATTTTTGTTGTGTTCTGTTCATTCTGCCTCCTAACCAAGAAGGTGCTTGCTGCTTAGCAGTGTCAGGATGTGGAGGGTGGTTCATAGTGAAGTTGAACAAATAACAGCTGAAAATATGAGACAAAGAACTGTTGTGATAGCCTGGTGCTAAGTGAGCAAGTTAAGTAGAGCTTATGATGTCTTCAAGGTGAGACAGTCAACAGTGAGAGCGGGCAGAGAGAATCTTGAAGTGGTCGCTGGAGCTCCAGGGAAGTGGTTGTAGTGTTGGTCTCTGCCCTCCTCCTTGTCTGAAAGGATTAAGGGAGTAGACATGACCAGTAAAGAAGTAATGTGTGAGTGGAAACAACCACTGTGTAGTCTCATTTTATTTACCAGGAAGTCTGTTTAGAGGAATATGTATGGTAGGTGGCGCATTTATTATCATCTTAAAATGACAGAAGCCTTTTTGAAATGATTAAAATCCAAGTATGCTGTATTGGACTTATTATGAATGGTAAACATTCTCATTTGGGGATCTACTTGTAAAGTTTTAGGAAAAAACTAAACATAGTTGGAAACATCATCCACATTAAAAGATGTTAAGCAATAATGTGGGTTCTATGTCTATATTTGATGGTTTCCTGCAGTGTTAAATGGGGTGGGACCTATAGCTTTTAAACAGAAACTAGAAAAATGGAAGATTTTTTTTCATAGTGGTCAAAACCGTCACCCACAGAGAAGCTGTTAAAAATCAGAATATCACGTGTATTTTTGTAATTTACCAAATATTCAGCAAGTTCTTTTAAGCAAATTTTTGTTTTAATCTCCTTGTCACATTTTTAAACATTTTATTTTAGAAAAGCATTGTTGTATGGACTTTTTAATATTTCTTTCTGCTAAGGAAAATGAAACTGTTTGTAATGATCAATGTATTTGTCATAGACTCTCTGATATTCAAGATGTTAGAATCTTGGTGCATTGCTAGTCATGACTCTATTGTATTTGTTGAGTAGATCAGCAAGACTTGTTATTCCTTGGTACTGTGAGTGGTTTAGTTGTAGAACTGTTATGCCCTGGTGCCTTTACATTGATACTGATATTGTCCATTGGTAACTTTTCTTCCTGAGTCAGTCTGTCAGCTGTAAGACATGAAATACTTTATTCAGCCTTTGCATTTTTTTGCAATTACTCTTTAGAATCTGTAGGCAGGTGTCATTTAGTTAATGGGAGTGTGTGTGTGTGTATTTGTAGCATACTTATTATTTTCAATTTATGAGCTTAGAATGCCAGTTTTTTCAGTACTGTAGGAATCAGTACTTTTTTTCCTGATAAGGTATTTAAGTGAAAGTCAGTGTTACCTACTTAGTGTTGATTATTGGATATTTTGTAAGTAAAAACATTCTTAGTGTTTTCACTATGTTTCTTCCCTAGTGGACTCCAGAAGGAAGGCGATTGGTCACTGGAGCATCCAGTGGAGAGTTCACCTTGTGGAATGGACTCACTTTCAACTTTGAAACAATCTTACAGGTAACAGTAATCACTGGATGGCAGCATGGTCTTATGCTGCTGTAGAACACCTGAGGTGGGGTCACTTAGGGGCACAGTTAGGCTGACATGACCACCTTAACACTTGGCCCTGTGTCGCCTTGGATCATCCCTTCTTTGAAGTAGTACCTAACTGGTGTTTTCTTTGTTCACAGGCCCATGATAGCCCAGTGAGGGCCATGACTTGGTCACATAATGACATGTGGATGCTGACAGCAGATCACGGAGGATATGTGAAATACTGGCAGTCGAATATGAACAACGTCAAGATGTTCCAGGCACATAAGGAGGCGATTAGAGAGGCCAGGTTTATACACAATATACCATTTTCTGTAGTCCCTATTGTCATGGTTAAATTATTCTCTGAGTGTATTCTGGGTGCAGAGATGCATGGGCTCTGTCAGATTCTGGGAAACTTTCTGCACCCTGCGCACACAGTATTTTCCTTTGTTTTCACACATTCACCATTTTGCTGGCATCTTTCTGAAGTAGTGTTATCCTGGTTTCAGCCTTTGCAATATGTTAGAGATGTATTGTCTGCCGCATTTTGCACTGGTTTTCTCTTTTCATTTATGGTTAATAATGTGTATGCATTGCTCCTTTTTATTACCTTCTGTGTAAGACAAGACTATTTCATTCCAAATAAAGAATTCAGTCTTTAATTATACAACTGAATAAAAACTAAAGCTACAGAAAACACCTTCAGAATTCACACAAAATACAAGAAAAAAAAAAAAAGACGTAAGTGAAGACCTGGTTGGCTTGATTATGCCACGACTTCAGAAGGAAGGTCTAGGAAGGTCTAAAAACCCTCACAGATAACTGGATGTGGCAAACATAAATGGATTAATGAATGGGTTCTTCAAGCTTTGCAGCTGTAAGCAGACCATAGTCACGAAGACTCTAGGACTTCCGGTTCACTGCTAAGAACATCAGCTGTGTAAATGTATAAGTGGAGCTTAAAATATTTTCAGTGAGTTGTCTGTTTTTGCATATCAGTGAGATATGTATAGTAAAAGTGAAGAAAGAAGCTTCATCAACAATCCTGTAAAGGACCTCAGCCTCAGAATCACGCTAAGCAGCCTTCTGTAAGGTTTTAGCCACCACTTGTGGGAGGAGGTTGACATCTTTTGAGAAACACCATCCATTGCAGTCACTGTTTCTACTTGCAGAATCTTATAGAAATCATTGGATAAACATGCTTGCTTTTTTTTTAATAGACTATACCTAATGCCTTGCGCATATGTTGAGTTTTCACCATTGGTCCTTTCTTATTTGTAGGATTCAGGGCTTCAAGGAATTCTTAGTAGTTGAGAAACTTGGTACCCAGATGCAATATGTGTATTTTTACGTTTCCTTTAAAAGGTATAATATTCATGGGATAGATTTCCAGGAAGGCATAAAGTTTTCCACAGACCTTTCTGGAAGCCATTATATGACGTGTCTGAGGCAGAAGCTCATGCAAAGCTCATGCTTATCTTTTGAGAAATGTTCCTGCGTGATGTAGACTAAACGAATATTGCAAAAGTAGAATTCATTTAGTTTCACTGTTTTTGTCAGCTCCATGTGTTTTACAGGTGTGATAGGAAATACTCTGAGATTTGTGGGTAGCATTGCTACTAATAATACCCTTGGGTGATTGAATACAGAAGCAGCCCCTCTCTTGAAGTCTCCCTCTGATAACGTGTGCTAGATCACAGCGTACTCTTTAAGGTCTTCTTCACTGGATACTTTCTCTCCTGTTGATAACGCAGCACAGTGTTTTTATTTTTCCCTGTCGGAGAAGCACAGATAATCTGTTCAATGCTGACTTCTTTCCCCTGCTGTGTGTCTTCATGTAACAGTTTCTCACCCACGGATAATAAATTTGCTACATGCTCTGATGACGGCACTGTTAGAATCTGGGACTTTCTTCGTTGCCATGAGGAAAGAATTCTTCGAGGTATGTGTACTAATGGTACTGGTTGGAATATTTAAATAGGGAAGACATTAGTGGTTAAAGCATCACAAAACCGCAGTACTGGCTTACATCTCCATTGGATTTTTTCACACATGCGCCACTCCAGTCAGGCTCCCTGAAGAAACTCACTCAGTGTTAGCTTTGTACTACTGCATTCTCTTTGAATTGTTTCAGCTCTCTATTAAATTTAAGCCCTCCTCCCCTGTCATTTATCTGTGCGTCTTTCAAGGTTGTGGTCCTTTCCTGTCTTGGGTCCAGGATGCTCTTCCCCAACATCAGACAATATGGTTTCATTTAGGTAGGTCACACTCTCCTGGCAGTTCCTTTGCACTATGAATTGACAAGATCCATCTCTCAATAACTGTACTTCTGTGGTGTTATTTCTAAGAGCAGTTGGCTTTTTGGTTTTACCACATTTGTACTACATGTCCCTTTTGTTAGTAGGTTTATGAAAGATTGCTTTGTTATTTTTACTGTTTTCATGATTATAAATAAAACAGAATTACACTCAATTCTGCAAAAGAAGGCCATATTCTCACTTGAATTGTTTTGAATTTTTGAATGAGGCTATTGGATTAGGTTAATGGACTTCTTACTTAAAGTGGAGCTTTTGAGGTATTTGCAGTTCACAAACTCCGTTTTTATGGATAAAGTAGTGTTAGAATTAGGGGATTAATTACACGACAATAACATGTATACTTCTAACTAAAAACTAATAGATTATTGTTCCCTAGGAATGTGATGTTCTTAAGCACTAAAGTTGAACTTAAATTAGTTTAAATAAACAATACATTCTGCTTTGTACAGTGATGATTCTGTTGTACCACAAAGGCATCTTATCCTCTGAGATGTAAACCCAGGATGAGACAGATGCAGGGTGGGAGAGTGGCTGATGCAAAATCTGGGTGTACGAAAGTTATTGAAAGAGTTTTTCTAATTTTGACCATCAACAGAGGTAACTGTCTTAATGGAGAATTCCACCAAAACCTTTACTTAATGGTTCAGATTATTTATAGTCTATAACATTGATACTTTCGGCTCTTGAGATACTTGAATCCCTGCTTAGCCCCCTGTTCTGTAGCCAGTTCATTTGATTACATTTGCTTCAGCAGTGCCTGCCTTGTACGTTTTATTGGGCTCCTTCGGATGCTTCATGACTAAGCACAAGAACCTGGTACCTCACTTACTGGGGGAATCTAGGATGAGGAACAATCTTTATTTACTTTTTTAAAAATAATTTTCATTAATCTTTTTTAAGATTTTATTTTTATTGGAAAGTCAGTTTTACAGAGGAGGAGAAACAGAAGCTGCCCAGAGCTGAGCCAATCCAAAGCCAGGAGCCAGGAGCCTCCTCCGGGTCTCTAACATGGGTGCAAGGTCCCAAGGCTTTGGACCGTCCTCAGCTGCTTTCCTAAGACACAAGTAGGGAGCTGGATGGGAAGTGGAGCAGCCAGGACATGAACTGGCGCCCATTTGGGATCCTAGCACATGCAAGGTGAGACCTTTAGCCACGAGGCTACTGCCCCAGGCTCAAGGATCAGTCTTTTAAATAATCTAAGTTATTTGTTACATGTGCACCATGACGATGTGCTCAGGGTAAGGTAGATTCACAAGCAGAACTAGTGACTTACTCCCTGAACCCAGCCCGCAGTGTACTTATGTACTGTCTCTGCAGCACAGTTAGAAGTCCTTGCAGTTAAACACAGATAAGGGAAACAGCATTTTGTAGTTGTTGAAGATGTATGGAAATATCACAGAGGCAAAATAATCTTATTTATTAGGTGCAGTTTTGAGGTACAAAACAATCTGAGAGCAGCGTTTGTGGCTGTTGCTGCCTGAGGTTGCACACGAAATCACTGCACTTGGGTAAGAAAAAGCAGGCAGTCTAGTATGTGACCCTGTTGTTAAAACTGAAAAGGAAATGCTCTCCAAGTTGTGCCAAAGGACTTCTATCAGACTTTTATAGTGGTTAGTTATCTAGTAGTTAAATATTTTCACACTTGATCTTAGCCAAAAAAGCTGAGAAGTAATTAAATATTTTCAAATTAGAGTCTAATTTAATTTAGGCAAAGTAGAAATTTTAAAGTTAAATAACATTTTAAAAATATACTACATCTTCATGTTAATATTTGAGTTTCTTCAAACAAAGTATAATGAATTTTCACATATTAGGGGCTTCATGTTCTGCTGATTTATGTTTTGATATCTTTAAAATAAGTCGTTAACTTTTCAGTCGTTTTGTTTTGTTTCTAAGTACTTTGAATCTGTTCAGCTAAGTTAATTCTGTCATTCTTCTTTTTGGCATCCCTCACTTTTCCAAATTCTATGAATCTTAGAATGTCACTGTACCTCTGCTTGATGGGTGGAGGGTCATGGGGATAGTGAATCTGCATTCACATCAGGGTGATGTGAGGGTCTTTGAACTGAATTTAGCTCCACTTAGAGCGAAAATGTCAGGCACACAGGGGTAGGATGTTTTATCCTTTTTCATGTCACTTGTTCCACATTGATAGTGATGTTCCTCTTACATAGGTCGCACAACATCTGACAGGCAAGCTGTATTATGTGCTGTACAAGCAAACCATCACCCTATGGTTAAGTGTTATGAGATGTTTGTGGTTATTTAGTCCAACTGTTTAGCAGATCCCTTCTTCTGTGTCATCCGTAAACACCAGTCTTCTCAGCAAAGATATTTAGTGATGGAATGTTTACTACCTCCTGGCCAATAAAACATTTACTATGTCCTGTCCAATTTTACACAGCTCTGGTTTTTAGAACATTTTCTTTCTATCAGAAGTCTGCTTCTCTACAACTTGTCTTTAGGCCCATAGGTCCAGTGCACAGTACAAACCGTGATAGCTTATTTTTCAGTGCACGATTTGCAGTTGTCTTCTAGTGTTGTTTGGTAATATGTTTCCTTGGTATTACAGCGAAATCAAATCACTGCTGTCAGGTTGAAAATAGAGAATCTATAAGAATGACATGTTTTAGTGAGAGCTACTTTATGAACAATCAGCACAGCAATTAATTTTGATTTTTTTCTTGATTTTACTAATAGCTGACATATTACACTTATTATGTATCATACATATTCTAGGTACTTCATTTAATATTTTAGACAACCCTATAAATACTGATTCTTCTCCATTGTACAAGTGATTAAACTTCAGCACCAAAAATTTAAAGCTGCCATAAGTCATGCTAATTTTAAGTGTGGGCTAAAACTTGACTCTTAAGTTTTATGCTTTTAACCAGTAGCTCTTTTTTTTTTTTTCTTTTAAGAGATATATTATTTATTTGAAAGGCAGAGAGAGAAGAGCTTTTTTCAGCTGCTAGTTCACTCATTGAATTGCTTAAGCATCCAGGGCTGTTACAGGCCAATACCAGCCATATAAATTCCACTGGGATGTCCTGAGTTACCAGCATGGGTTTAACAGTGCCTTCCTGAGCTGTAATGAAAGAATCGTAAAGATTCTGAGAGGAGGACAAGGGTGTGGGTGGAGGAAACTAATTGACTCCTGATTTAGATACATCCTTTAAATTGTGTATATGACAGATTTTCACTATATCCCACGTTTAGCACAGACAATTGTTTTAAACAGTGAGCAGTTGAAACTGCATATGGATTACTATAAAGTACATGCCAGGTTTTATAAATAGAGCATGGTATTTTATAATAGAGCATGTTACAACATAAGGAGTTATCCTGAAACTCAGGAGGTAAAGTCTCTTTTCAGTCTGCACATATAGTACTTGGAGGACATGAATCCCTGAGTGCTTGGCTGAAGAGAAGAGTGTTAGTTCTTTGACAAATTTGTGTGACCCCTTCTTGATTGTATCCAAGTGAATGAAAATAACCCTTCCGCTTACCCAGGTATTTTGGTTCAGTAGTGTGTTTCGTAGGTGTGTATGAAGGCAGTTTATAAAATCTGAAGATTCTGAAAAAACTCTTAATGCATATTATGGAAGGAATTTTTACTTAAGTCTGATGGATTGTTTTGTTTTTTTGTAAGATTTATTTTTATTGGAAAGGCGGATATACAGAGAGAGAGAGAGAGAGAAAGAGAGAGACAGAGAGAGAAAGGAAGATCTTCCGTCCGATGATTTACTCCCCAAGTGAACGCAATGGACGATGTTATGCTGGTCCGAAGCCAGGAGCCTCTTCCGGGTCTCCCACGGGGGTGCAGGGTCCCAAAGCCTTGGGCCGTCCTTGATTGCTTTCCCAGGCCACAGGCAGGGAGCTGGATGGGAAGCGGGGCTGCTGGGATTAGAACTGGTGGCCCATATGGGATCCCGGGGCGTGCAAGGCAAGGACCTTAACCACTGCGCCACTGCGCCACTGCGCCACTGCGCCACTGTGCCTGGCCCAAGTCTGATGGATTGTATAGTTTATAGCCACGAACCTAATTTATTTTTACAAGGTTTTATGAAACATTTTACAGAATCTGGTCTTTGCAGGACATAAGACTCCTTTAAATTAGCTTGTAACAGAATAACAGTACCCATTGACACAATGTACTTTCACATTGAAAGTACCTAAAGCCACTCCCATTTAATTATTCAGATGACCTGTGAATCCATTTTAAGCTGGTTTTTTTTTTTTAAACCAAGAAATATTATTTTACTTTATTGGAAAGACAGAAAGAGGGCCTGGCGTGATAGCCTATTGGCTAAAATTATCTTGTATCCGCCAGTATCCCAAATGGGCATCAGTTCATGTCCCAGCTGCTCCCATTTCCCATCCAGCTCCCTGCCTGTGGCCTGGGAGAACAATGGAGGACAGCCCAAAGTCTTGGAACCCAGCACCCGCACGGGAGAACCAAAAGAGAAGCTCTTCACTTCAGATTGGCTCAGGTTTGTCTGTTGTTGCCACTTGGGGACCAGTGGACAGAAGACCCTTCTCTGTCGCCTTCTATATCTGCCTTTTCAATGAAAAAATAAATCTTAAAGACAAAGGATCTTCCATGCACTGGAACCGTCCC